ATGCCTGAGGTCCCAGTGACGGGGCACACTTCTGGAAAACCCACTCTTCAGCCTCCCTAACCCACTCTTCAGCCTCCCTATGCTCTGACCTTGAGTGCCTGTGATGTCCTGCACTGTCTGGGTCCTGATCCTCATCCTGCATATTCCTGCTCTAGGTCTTCTGTTTCATCTCTCTGTTCCTCTACTCTGAGGAGACCAAGGATCACTCAGTTTTTCTACCCATTCTCCCACGGAAAAGAACTTGGCCCATGTTCCAGGCTGGTCAGAGAGGACACTTTTGCTCTTGTGTCCCACACTTCCCTCTACACTCTTGGAAACAGCCACCAGGCTCCTCTGGCTGCCTGCCATACACCCTCCCAGCTCTGTCCTGTGAGCACAGGGAAAGGCTCAGGGCAGTCATGAGGAGCGCAGAGGACTGACCCAGCCCCCCATCTGGCCTTACTTCTGGAAGACTCAGAGATTCTGGATCCCAGTGATGGAGACCTGCTCTGCCCTTACCCTGGGGAAACCCTCGGCCACCTCTCTTCATCTAGGCTCTGTACCAATTGTCACTCTTCCAACTTATTCAGGGCAATAACCCTCCTTGGAAGTCCCTCATACATGCCCCAAAGGCTCATGTCAGCTCTTGCTGATGACAAGACATAACACCCGCAGGCCTTCTCTGAGTGTGGTGGGGATAGTGGGAATGGACTGCACAGTTTTGGCCCCAGTGAGCCCCTGGGAATCTTGCCTCTTACCCCCCTCTCTGAAGTTCACATAGGATGCTGCAGTTCCACTTCCTCTCTTAGCACCACACAGAGAGGCCTACTTGCAGCTGCTATTATGGACAAAGACACTGCTACCCTCACCACATACCATCCATGCAACTGGTCTCTGGGGGCTGGATCCACATTAGGAAACTTGACTCTAAGACCAGGCATGTCACATAAGGTTTAGAAAAGCTTCAAGTCCTGTTCTCTAATGCTCCAAAACTCTTATATGGAAGACAGTGGTCAGCATCCCTTCAGTAATGTGTGCTGGGGTTGAGCACCATGACCACACAGGACTGATGCACAAGGTTCTAGTTCCACTGTGCCTTGGACCACCAACAGATCCATGGGGACTCAGTCTGCCCCCTGGGTGGGTGTGTGTGGAGGGAGGGGGGATGAATGAAGAAGGTTGTTCCTAGACGCAGCATCACAAAGCAACAGGTTTAAGGGCCAGTGCTTTGCCTTCCTAAAATGTGTGATTTATGAAGATCCCAGAGCCTGGATGTTCTTTTGGGTTAATTCCTAAAGCTTGCCCACCATTAGACTCTGGCTGGGGCAGTCCTGGCATCTCCTCACAACATAGGTTGCTTTAGGGACGGGGAAGTATGGCTTCAAGTGAAGTAGGACACATTTCCCTATGATGGATCAGCATCCCAATAAAACAAGCATTGAGATGGACCAAGAGGCCTTCCCTACATACCCCTAAACACGTGTGCCAGACCCAAAGGACTGCAAGATACTCCTGAGTAGCACATGCATCACCCCTACTTTAGCCCACATCTCTCTTCAGAGGTTCCCAAGACCTAAGGGGCCATCCAGCTGTGGAAACACTGCTTTGTTTTCTCCCCATTCTGATCCATCCTATGACCCCACATCCTTTACTGGTCAACAAACAATCAGAGTCTTTCAACCTAAGGGGCTCTAAACACTGCCTTCGCTCTAGCTAATCAGAATTACCCTGTTGTGGGGAAAGACAATTTCTTCAATAAATAGTGCTGGGAAAACTGGATAATCCTAATCCTAAAAAATAAATAAAACTGGACTCCTATTTTATACCACTTACTAAAATTAACTCAAAAATTAAGGGCTTAAATGTAAGATGTGAAACCATAAAACTCCTAGAAGAAAACAAGGGGAAAATGTCCTTGACATCAGTCTTGGCAACAATTTTTGGATGCGACACCAAAAGCATAAGCAACAAGAGGGGAAAAAACCAAGCGATACTAGATTAAACTAAAAATAACTTCCATAGCAAAAGAAACAATAAAATGAAAAGGCAATCTATGGAATAGGAGAAAATATCTGTAAACTATTTACATGATAGTTAATATCCAAAATATACAAGGAATTCATACAACTCAATGGCAAAACCCCCCCAATAATCTGATTACAAATGGACAGAGGGCATGACAAAACATTTTTCAGAAGAAGATATACAGGTGGCCAACGGACATATGAAAAGATGCACAATATCACTCATCATTAGGGAAGTGCAAGTCAAAACCCCAGTGAGGGAGAGCCTGGGTCACTCAGTGGGTTAAGTGGCCAATTCTTGATCTCAGCTCAGGTTTTGATCTCAGGGTCATGAGTTCAAGTTCTGAGTTGTACTCCACGCCAGTTGTGGAACCTACCTAAAAACAAACAAAAAACAACCTCCCCCAAACCCAGAATGAAACAAAAAACCACAATGAGATAGCACCTCGTGCCTGTTAGAATGGCAGTCCCAGAAAGACAAGAGATAACAAGTGATGGAGAGGGTGTGGGAAAAGAGAACTCCTGTTCACTGTTGGTGGGAATATAAAATGGTACAGCCATTATGGAAAATAGTATGGAAGTTCTTAAAAAAAAAAAACTAAAAACAGAATTACCATGAGCTCTAGCAATCCCACTTCTGGGTATACATCCAAAGGAAATAGGACCAGGATCTCAAACCAGAGACCAGGAGCTCATCCTTGACATCACCCAGGTAACCAATACCCAATTAATGCTGATTCTGGTTCTATCAATTCAGTCTCCAGGGAACACCCTCACCCCACCCTTAACCCCTCTCTAAGGCCACTGCCCTCTGGATTCAGAAAGCTCTGTGCTTGTTTTCTGTCTCTGCTACTTCTTTTCTTGGTAGCCTTGGGAAAGTCACCTCTCAGGGTCTTACTGTCAGGAGCCCATGAGATGGGCCTATTGTGCTTCCTGCCTCCTAAAGATAGCATTTAAAAAAATATTTTATTTATTTATCCATGAGAACACAGATAAAGAGGCAGAGACATAGGCAGAGAGAGAAGCAGGCTCCTTGCAGGGAGCCTGATGCAGGACTCGATCACAGGACCCCGGGATCATGACCTGAGCTGAAGGCAGGTGCTCAACCGCTGAGCCACCCAGGTGCACCCTAAAGATAGCATTTAGATGAAATAACATGATGTGTGTAAAATGCTTCGCCTAGCGTAGGGCTCAAAGTCAGTGCTCGGTACGTGTCAGTTGCTGTTATTAATGTGGGGGTGGCTGTTAGTATCATTATGTGGACCCTGGCCTCTCCCACCAGGGCATCCAAGAAAGGAGAGGACGGGGGTCAGAAAGTGAAGACTCACAGTAGCCATGGCAGAGTGGAGGCCCTGCAGCCGCTGTGGGATCATTCCATCCCCTGAAAACAACCAAAGATGGGAGAAGGCACCAGAGTAGAAGAGCCTCATCTCCAGGCACAAACATCCACTGTGAGGTCTCGTCCTCACAACATGAGCTTCCAAGGGGCTTATGCTGAGGTATAGACCTTCTAGGGACAGAAGTTCCCTTGGAGAGCATCTAATTCAACTTTCTGATTTTAGGATGGCAAAACTGAGTTTCTGTGAGGAGAAAGGACTTGCCAGGCCCAATTTCATTTAACAAGGGGTGACCCAGGGCTACTCTGTGTCCAGCCCTGTGCTGTATGCTGGACACATAATCCAGCGGGTAAAGAGATGGATCCAGAATCAGTTTTCCACTACACCGTATTGCCTACAGACCCTGGAGCAGCCTGCTAAAACTAACACATTTCTGTGTGCCACCAAAAGGGAGAAAACCAGAATTCTGTATTACCAATAAATCATGCTGACAAATTCTTTCAACTGGAAACTGAAGGGTGAAATAACAAATTGAACTGTCATACAAGCAAGAAGACTGGAAAACATTGAGAACAAATCTAATGGGAACAAACTCTTTTGTGCCAGCCTTTCCCCTTTGGACAGACAAACAAACTGGTCTGGGCACCCGGCACCCAAGCAGGAGGTTTGCAACAAACCTCCACAGCTGCCATGCACTTTCCTCCTCAACGCCCAGACTCTTTTAGTGTCTTACCAAAATATTCAGAATCTGGGGAGAAGGAACATTAACAATAAATTGTCATTTCATAAGTGATGAAACTGAACCTCAGAGAAATAAATAGGTCACAGCCTATAAAGAATAGAGTAGCTAGACAGCTTCTACTCTAGGCCATGGGGCTGCAGTTACAAAGAAAACAGACTTTTGCTGTCTATGTGGGAGAAAAAAAGAAAAGTCCCTCACAAAAATGATTTTTAACCTTCTATAGGGCACGAGAGCTTCTGGGAATCTACTGAAAGGTGTTAATTCTCTCCCCAAAAGTGAGCCCATGAGGGCACAAATGTAATTTTCCCTATAGTTTCAGAAGCTCACCTGTGTAGCTCTTAGAAATTCCCAAGCTGCAGCTGAAGAAACTTTGCTTTAAAGTGTTGGCTGTACAGTTACGCAAAATAGCTCAAATCAACTTTTACAGACACGGTCCAAACCTGGAAACTTTCCATGGGAGGAGGGGTATGTATAACAGGTGAAAAATGATCATAGTCCTGTCTTCCCGTATGTCAATCAAAACATGAAATTCTGATTTCTTGGGATGCCCACACAGATTAAAACAAGATGTATTTATCAATCGGTCACTGGAGCCAGAGGGTAACACTATTTAGGGTTCCAAACTGTTCTAGCAAATGGGCCCCCGCACTAAAAATACTCTAAGGGTACATTTTAAGAACGGCCAGTCTCTATCTGTTTAGGGGCTTCCACACCCTGTACCAACACTACATTGGATTAGCAAGGCAAATCCATGCTACTGGAAGGCACAGAAGACATTCACAGTTTAAGATTCTGCAGTTTAAGATGATACCTCTCTCCCTAAAGGAACGATTTTGCATTAACATTGTGGCATCAAGTTACGGGGTTTCTAATAAAATACCCTTTGCATTAGAAGACTATGATTATCCAAAAACTTGCCTGCTGATTTAAGGGTCCACAGGGTCTCCTTTTACCTCCAAGGTTTCTGGATGATGGCTGGAAAACTGAGGATCTCCCTCTGGGTTACCTGTGTGCCCCAGAGGGCTGCCCCCGACTGTCTCACAGCAGGACTCTGCAGCTGGGGTGCAGAGGTGATGGTAACATGAGCTGGCTTCCCGCTGCAAATAGCAACAGGCCTGCCATGAGTGAAAGCCCAAATATAGACCTGCCTAGGCTCTCTTGCCACTTCTTGCTGCTCAAGTGTCACCGGGAGAGGTCACATGCTGTCCTCTGAGTTTCTTCACATACTGGGAGGATTTGAGGGCTGGAGACCCACTGAGCTACTCCAATGGCTGGTCATGTTTAGAGGGCTGGAGGCTGCCACAGCAGGGGCAGGAGGGTAGCTGCAGGGCATGTGGAGAGGGAGGGCATCTGAGGGCCCTTGTGTGGTGCATCTTCCACCTGATGCTCTATTCCAAGAGCGTTTTGAACAAGCACAACTCTGAAGGCAATCAGATGCAACTTAATATTTTTTTCTTCCACCATTCCTTTAACATTTACTCACAGTGGGAATTATTTCCCTCAGTGGATAAAAAAGTCCAGCAGATCCATGACTTTCTGATCCCTCTTAGGTGACATTCAGTCCAAGGGTGAAGGCATAGTCTGCATTCAGCAACTGAATGGATAGTGCAGAATATTAATGTAAAAGACTTCGCTTAGCCAGTATCAAAATCTTCTCCCCTACCCAGTCTGGGCCTCTTTAGCTGGAAGTCTGCCCTCAGAAAGGAGGAAAGAGGTCGGCCTCTTCTCCCCACACCTCCTTATTGAGCTGCTGGTGGAACGCCAGGGCAGGAGGCACCAAGGTGATAAGACGGCTCCTATTGGAGTTAATGCCACAATGGGTGCTATCTTCCGGCTCTCTGGGCTGGCAGGTGCTTAGAGCTCTCTATTGTGCGCTTGTGTGTGTGTCTACACTCTCCCTCCCTCTCTCATGGAGAGTTTTTTACATCTCTGGAGTTTTCCATTATGGAGACCTTTCCCCCGGGTTTCCATAACCAGGCTGAGAACCCTTCTCTTCCAGGGGGCCCCTTGCATTCTCCTTATAGGCTCTGGTGGGCCACCTCCAGGATCTCTCAAATGAGGTCTTCTTACCCATGCAGTTGGCTCTCTTGGGCAGGATCTGATGATTCCTTGCTGACTCTGTCTCCCTCCTGGCTTACAACTGGATTATAGGAGGCAGGCCCATCCTTGGTGCCTGCAAACTCTGGAATGCTGTCAGAACCAATGCAGCCACCTCCCCTGGGTCTGCCATCAAAGCAGCCAATCCGCTCACCTCAGGCCACCATTGGTCCACCTGCAGGAGATACAGAAAAATCTCTGAAGGGTCCCTTTGAAGATCTTTCATTGGGCTAGAGGACAGGACTTCCAACCTTCCCTCCATCCCACTAACAGCATTCTCTGGAGAAATGGCTCCACCAATTTTCCCCCTGAAAGCATGAATTGGGTTCTGGACCATTTCCTTGAAAAGTCTCCTTATGGTGATTTGATCTCAGAATTTTACATCTGCTGCTTTTTAAATCTCAAAGTATAATTTGAAAAATATCATTACTGCCAGGTATCTAGAATATTAGAAGCAAAATAAAATATCAGAACAAAAAAATTGAAAGAAAAAATTTACGCAAAGATATATGTACAAGGATGTTCACCACAGCATTATGCATATTGGCAGAAAGCTGAAATTAATCTATAACTATCAATATAGAATTTGTAAACCACAATATAGTCACTCAATATTGGCAAGTATTAAAAACAATCATGTAAATACCTATTTTTTACGTGGAAAATACCCACAATATATCTGTAAGTAGAAAGAGAGTATAAAATACAATTAGAACATAATCATATATATATTATATAGGTGATATATAGTATATAGCAGAATATATAAATATATAATAATATATGATATTACATATAATAATAAACACATAAAATGAGAGCAGAGTTTAACTTTTGAGTTATTTTGTTTTCTTTATATTTTTTATTGTACCTATTTTGATAACAATTATTTATACACCTTTTATTAATTCTTAAAAACTATTTAATAATGAGAAATAATATATGATATTTGGCTTAGAAAAAGGCAAATATTACAAAGGAACCATAAAGTGAATATAAAGTAGGTATGTATCCTGGTAACAACAATGATTAGGTTTAGTGTATACTCACCCTTATTTTTTTCTAAGAATATACAAACATCTTTCCCTCACACAAAAATGAAATTACTTTTATAATTAGAAAGCCTGCTAGTGTCATTTTGATAAAGCAAGTAAATTAGAAATACTAAAAAAGATAAAATATAAAACAAATACAGTAAAAAGACATACTGTAAAGAATATACAAAAAAGATATTAAAACAGACTATTATTGAATTACAAGTAAATCATGTTAGCTAAGATAATATATTTAAAAATGACTTGAGGAAAAATAAATCCCTTCAACTAACAAATTCTTGTTCCAAGAAGACTACCAAGTGCAGCAGTTCTGAGTCCAAGGCCCCACAGCACTACACAAGCACTAAAGGGTTGGTGGGGGAGACTCAGATAAGCAACTTTGGACCTTAAGCTCATTCCACAGAAGTTTCTAGATACCCTGGGATCAACTTCAGGGGGAGAGATGCCCTAACCACTGCTCCAGGCTGGCCCTGGTTTGTTATTGTTTTCCTTTGGGCATAACAGCAACTGTAAATCTGATCTCTTGCTTTCCCAAATCCACAAGTTTTCTCACCGGTTCCCGAGTCTAGCCTTCAGGAGCCTAGTCTTGGAGAAAGGCTTCTCCTCGCGGCTCCCTGGGTTGTCTCCCCCCACCACCCATCCCATGAACTCACGGGATGGAAGCAGACCTGCTCTGTGTCTCAATCAGTGCTCACTGTGCGGTTCCCGGACACAGACCTGGGCTGTCTTATTCCCTGTTGGGTGAACCCGACCAGCTCCAAGTCACATCCCAACCTCACGTGCAAATTAGATTTCCCCTATCTCCTTAAACAGGTCTTGGGGAGCCAGGTGGTCTTACTAGTCTGCTTGTGTATTGTCGGGACAAGGTTCCTTCTGGATCTGTCTCCTTGGCTGTAAAGCGAAGAGTAGGAACACACTAAACACGCTGTCTGGGAGCTGGGATGCTTTGACGACAGAGGGACATCTTTTGTGTATGCCCCTCTGCAGCCCCCCCCCCCCCCCCCCCCCCGCACACATCAGGCACTCCATAAAAGTTCGCTGAGTTGGTAACAACAATCGGGTGGCTTTTACCCGGTGGGTGGCGCTTGGAGACCCTCAGCCCATAACTCCTACGTTTGATTTAACCTTTGGTCTCCAGCAAGTCTGCACCCCTTCTGAGCGCAGGAACCCTCGGGTGCTCCCCGACGCCCCAGTGAGCGAGGACCGAATCAGTGGGTCCCCGTTCTCAAGAGGTTCTTTGAGCGCAGGAGGCTAAGACGGACGATAACTCGTCAGGAACACTTTCCCTACGTCAGCAGGTACAAAGGTGGGAAGGGTGAGGCAAGAGGGGAAGTCCTTGGGCCCCGACTCCGCGAGGCGACAGGGACCGCTTCCCAGCGCCGGCCGGAGACAGAGTCCCAGCCTTCCCATTGGTTGCCGAGAACCCGCCCACGCCGCTGGCAGCCAATCGGAGGCGCCGGGGGTGGGGTGGCGCCCCCGGGGCGCTGACGCGGGCGCGGTCCCGCCAGAATGTCGCGGTCCGCGGCCGGCTGCGCGGGGCGCGGGGAGGCCGGGCGCGCGCGGGCCGAGCCCTCGGGCCGCTGATCCGAGGCCATGGAAGACGAGCAGCCCGACAGCTTGGAGGGCTGGGTGCCGGTCCGCGACGACCTCTTCGCCGAGCCCGAGCGACACCAGCTGCGCTTCCTCGTGGCCTGGAACGACGCGGAGGGCAAGTTCGCCGTGACCTGTCACGACCGCACGGCGCAGCGGCGGCGGCGCGAGGGGAGCCGGCCCGAACCAGAGCCCGAGCGGGCCGCGTCCCCCCCGAGCTGGGCGGGCCTGCTCTCGGCCGCCGGGCTCCGCGGCGCGCACCGGCAGCTGGCGGCGCTCTGGCCGCCCCTGGAGCGCTGCTTCCCGCCGTTGCCGCCCGAGCTGGACGCGCGCGCCGGCGGGGCCTGGGGCCTGGGGCTCGGGCTCTGGGCGCTCGTGTGGCCGGCGCGCGCGGGCCCCGGCGACGCGGCGGTGCAGGAGCTGTGCGGGCGCCTGGAGCGCTACCTGGGCGAGGCTGCGAGCGGCTGCGGCGGCGCGGCGGTGCGCGACGCGCTCTTCCCGGCCGACGGCGGCGCGCCCGACTGCGAGAGCCTGCGCGACTTCCGGGAGAGGGCCCTGCGCGCGCGGTGGGCCGCGGCGGGCGCGCGGCTGCGCCAGGTAGCCGCGGGGCGGGAGGGGCAGCCGCCGGGGTGGGGCCGCGGTGTGTGTGGCGTGGGTGGGGGTGGGTGGGTTGTGTTCCGTTCCGGAGAGCGGGGCTGTCGGCCGGCCAGGGGGCGCTGGGCGTGGACCGGGCAGGGCGCGCACAGGTGCACAGGTGCCTGTCACCTCTAGGGGACCTGAGGGGGGCGCGCGCAGGTGCCTGTCACCTGTAGGGAGCTGGAGGCGGAGGGGAGGAGGGCGTGCGCAGGTGCCCGGGGCCTGTTACCTGTAGGGGAGCTGGGCATGGACGGGGCGGGGCGCGCGCAGGTGCGCGGGTGCACAGGTGCTGGTCACCTGCAGGGGAGCTGGGGCGGAGGGGGGAGGGCGCGCGCAGGTGCCTGTCACCTGTAGGGGACGGGGGGGGGGGCGCGCAGGTGCACAGGTTCCTGTCACCTGCAGTTCTCAGGCGGGTCAGCGTGCATCCTCTGTCTGCAGCCAGCCCCTGACCCCTTTCTCCGAAGACTCTGGCAGACCCGGCTGCCCTCTAACAGGATTTGCCAGAGAATAGCGAAAGCAGAACCGGAAACAGCCGTAGTACACGTGGGAAACAGCCTGGCGGACGGGATGTAAACACTTCCCGGTTCTCGGCGGGGACGGCGGGGGGCGGGGGTGGGGAGCGGCGGCGGCGGTCCGGAACAATGGAGACCCGCTGCTTTAGAGGATGAAGGGGCTTCTAGGGGAAAGGTTGGAAAGTAACGCAAACGTCTGGTGGAAAGCCGACGGGGAGTGAGCTTTATTCTTTGATTTGGAAGGGCAACCGGAGTGCAATTTTAAGTTTAAAAGACGTCACTTGGGAAGCCCAACAACTCATTCTTTGAGTGATAAACGTATAGAATTTAACGGGGGTGGGGGGAACGCAAGTTCACAAAAGGGTTTGGGAGAAAAATAGGGTGTGTGTATTCACAATTTACTACAGGTGGCCAAGATTGAGGCTCTGACACCCTGGACACGTCCTCTTGCTTGCTTGTTCTCATTACAGGCCGATCTTAATCTGGATGATTTTTCTGCAAATTCTTTTGAGGAAGGGAGGAGTGTGAGGGAAGAATTCAGCCATATTTCAAAGTCTTAATTACATCTTCCTAATAAACATATAGAATCAGCTTTTTTTAAAGATTTTATTTATTTATTCATGAGAGACACAGACACACACACACACACACACACAGAGAGAGAGAGAGAGAGAGAGAGAGAGAGAGAGAGAGGCAGGCTCCCCGCAGGGAACCTGATGTGGGACTCGATCCCAGGACTCCAGGATCACACTCTGGGCTGAAGGCAGGCGCTCAACTGCTGAGCCACCCAGGAGTCCCTAGAACCAGCGTTTTAAAGCAAAATGGTTTTATAAAAAGAGTTTGTGGGATGCCTGGGTGGCCCAGTGGTTAAGCGTCTGCCTTTGGCTCAGGGCGTGATCCTGGAGTCCTGGGATCGAGTCCCACATCGGGCTCCCTGAATGGAGCCTGCTTCTCCCTCTGCCTGTGTCTCTGCCTCTCTCTCTCTCTCATGAATAAATAAATAAAATCTTAAAAAAAATAAAAGGAGTTTGTTAGAGGGTCTTACACCATTGAATGATTATAGTCATAACATTCTGCCCTGGATATACCATGATTTAACTGTTCGTTTTATTTGACATTTTGGTTGTAGGACAATAGCGTTTTCATATAATCAGCATTTTAATTTGTGAAGTTGAGGGCATTAAAGTTTCTTTAGTTTTGTTTATTTGGTATGATCTTATAAATACTGTCCTTACATGAGCTTTTATTTACATTTTGTCTTCCAGGTTCTTCAGGGGCATGATCAAGCCCACACCATGGTAGCACTAATGAAAGTTTATAGAGAGGAAGATGAAGCATACCAAGAGTTAGTTACTGGAGCAACTACATTTTTCCAGTATTTACTGCAGCCATTTAGGGATATGAGAGAAGTTGCAACTTTATGTAAACTTGATATTTTGGTATGTTTTCTTTATATCTGTATTTTATCAGATTTGTTATTTGTCACATATTATTTCTTTAGTCCCATTTCAGATTCAGTGTGTGTTGGCACCTTGGGTCCACCTTTGTGTTTAGATGATAGTATACATATGTTGAGTTTATTTTTTTAAAAAAAATTTTTAAAGATTTATTTATTTGTTTGTTTATTTATTTATTTATTTATGATAGGCAGAGAGAGAGAGAGAGAGAGAGAGAGAGAG